ATGGGGTCTTTCTATGTTGCCCAGGCTGGCCTCAAACTCCTGGGCTGAAGTGATCCTTGTGCCTCAGCCTCTCGAGTAGCTCATACTACAGGCATGGACCGCCATGCCCCAACCTTTTTCCCAGTGGAGAGTTACTTGCTTTTTGGATTAAAATTGTATAATCGCAGAAAATAATAATACCCCCAATAGACATGTTGATGTTTCTGGCTTGTATTATGATACTAAGTGATGTGCATTGGACATTCACAACCAAAGCTCTATCACTGCTGTGAAATTATTTTGCTTAACTTTAGTCACTATGTTGGTGTTGCTTCTGAGATTCCTGTGTTACAAACACTCATTTTGCAGTTGAACACAAATGGTTTAATGTATGCAAATGAATGTGGCAGATTGTGAATAGGATCTATATTTGATTTTAGTGGACATGTGAGGGCCTGAAAGTTGGTTCTTGTGCTAGAGGGGAAAAGTGGTGGCTGACCTGTTGAAAGGATGGAGAATTAACAAAATTATTAAAAACATTTGATGGTATCTTAAGTACCAGCCTCTCAAGTTATATACTATGTGCTTTATTGGACAACCACAATGTGCTATTACAATCAGGGTATAATGGTACTTCAGAGCTAAGGTTACACCAAAAAATTTGTATCTTATAGATAGTTTTTTTGACTCTTAGATATTTTGTGACTTCTCAGACTTTAATTTTGCTATATTTTTGTTCCAACAAAAGAAACATTAAAGCCATCTAAAACTCAGCTCATACATTTTAACACATTTGGGTATACAGTACTTAAAATTTAACATCCAACATTAAACACATTAATTTGATAAGGAAGCAAACAAAGTGACCAGTAATTAAAGGGCCCTAAACAAGTTAAACTTTGCATTTGGCTTCTTTAGATCTTTGTTACAGATGGACATGTACATATGTTTCCCCCTACTTCTTTGTAATGGCTTAGGCTCATTAGACTCAAGGGATTATACAATATTTTTTAGTAGGAAGAAAACTTCTAGGTAGTGCTGGCAGAAAAAGAAATGATGTAGCCAGGTTCCGTGCTATTTGTCATTAGTGACTTCTTTCATCTTTACTGAGCTCTGTGAAGTAAGTCATTCTATTGCCTTCTACAGAAGAGGCTTGGAGAGATTGCTCCATTACAATAGCCAGCTTTGCACCCTAGCCTGCCTGTAACATATCCTAAGAGAAGATAAGACACGATTGCTGGCCGGGTGCGGTGGCTCATGCCTGTAATCCTGGCACTTTGGGAGGCCAAGGCAGGCATATCACTTGAGGTCAGGAGTTCAGGACCAGCCTGGCCAACATAGTGAAACCTGTCTCTACTAAAAATACAAAAGTTAGCGAAGCATGATGGTGGGCACCTGTAATCTCAGCTACTCGAGAGGCTGAGGTGGAAGAAAGAGCTTGAACCCAAAAGGTGGAGGTTGCAGTGAGCCAAGATCACACCACTGCACTCTAGCCTGGGTGGCGAGCGAAATTGCGTTTCAAAAAAAAAAGACACAATTGCATACTTTAGTAGCAACAAAGCCAAGAGAAGAACCTTAGTTTGTCTCCTCCTCAGTCTAGAGTGGCCTTAGAACCAGCATTTTATGAAATTTACTTGTTGGCTCACCACATAGGTCACCCTTGTCACCACTGAAGACTTCTTCACAAGCCCGCAACTTCTAGCAGTAGTGATGGCCAGCATTTAAATATTTCCTGTGTGCCAACACTACGCATTCATTATCTTACGTAATCTTTG